TAAACCATCCCCTCACAGGAAACTTTGTGCTATTTCAGATTTTCAATACACTCCATTCTGGGTGATTTATAAGCGTTTTGAAAAGTGGGGACATGGGGTAATGTCCTGAAAAGTCACCTTCTCCTTGTAATACCTGTCATACCTTTGTCATTATACAAATTTGTCCTCATTTGTCACAAAAATGCGCACACACTGACACACACACACACACACACACACTCACTCACACTCACACACACACACACACAGAGAGAGAGAGAGAGAGAGAGAGAGAGAGAGAGAGAGAGAGAGAGAGAGAGAGAGAGAGAGAGAGAGAGAGAGAGAGAGAGAGAGAGAGAGAGAGAGAGAGAGAGAGAGAGAGAGAGAGAGAGAGAGAGAGAGAGAGAGAGAGAGAGAGAGAGAGAGAGAGAGAGAGAGAGAGAGAGAGAGAGAGAGAGAGAGAGAGAGAGAGAGAGAGAGAGAGAGAGAGAGAGAGAGAGAGAGAGAGAGAGAGAGAGAGAGAGAGAGAGAGAGAGAGAGAGAGAGAGAGAGAGAGAGAGAGAGAGAGAGAGAGAGAGAGAGAGAGAGAGAGAGAGAGAGAGAGAGAGAGAGAGAGAGAGAGAGAGAGAGAGAGAGAGAGAGAGAGAGAGAGAGAGAGAGAGAGAGAGAGAGAGAGAGAGAGAGAGAGAGAGAGAGAGAGAGAGAGAGAGAGAGAGAGAGAGAGAGAGAGAGAGAGAGAGAGAGAGAGAGAGAGAGAGAGAGAGAGAGAGAGAGAGAGAGAGAGAGAGAGAGAGAGAGAGAGAGAGAGAGAGAGAGAGAGAGAGAGAGAGAGAGAGAGAGAGAGAGAGAGAGAGAGAGAGAGAGAGAGAGAGAGAGAGAGAGAGAGAGAGAGAGAGAGAGAGAGAGAGAGAGAGAGAGAGAGAGAGAGAGAGAGAGAGAGAGAGAGAGAGAGAGAGAGAGAGAGAGAGAGAGAGAGAGAGAGAGAGAGAGAGAGAGAGAGAGAGAGAGAGAGAGAGAGAGAGAGAGAGAGAGAGAGAGAGAGAGAGAGAGAGAGAGAGAGAGAGAGAGAGAGAGAGAGAGAGAGAGAGAGAGAGAGAGAGAGAGAGAGAGAGAGAGAGAGAGAGAGAGAGAGAGAGAGAGAGAGAGAGAGAGAGAGAGAGAGAGAGAGAGAGAGAGAGAGAGAGAGAGAGAGAGAGAGAGAGAGAGAGAGAGAGAGAGAGAGAGAGAGAGAGAGAGAGAGAGAGAGAGAGAGAGAGAGAGAGAGAGAGAGAGAGAGAGAGAGAGAGAGAGAGAGAGAGAGAGAGAGAGAGAGAGAGAGAGAGAGAGAGAGAGAGAGAGAGAGAGACACAGAGAGAGAGCTCACACACACTCTCACACACAGACACACACACACACACACACACACACACACGGAGTCTCTGTCCATCATGAACATTGAGCATGTGATCTGAAGCAATGAAACTAGAGTTAAATCTGCAATGCACTACATGATTTTTGCCCAGATTTACAGTCTGGAGTCGCTAGTTGTGAAATCAGAGCCAGGCTTCAGATTATGGGCTGTCAGATTTCACAGAAATCATGTCGTGTGTGTATGATGAATGCAGACTCTGATTTTTAGCTTCAGACTGATTCCATACAGCTGGAGATCAGACATGTTTTGAGCTGATTTTAGAACATTATTTTCATTTGTCTTGTGTCTCTCAAGAGTAACAGGGTTATTAGATGAAAAGTTATGTTTCTTAAAACATTAGTTTAGTGGCATAACTGTAGACTGTTTGCAGTTGCCAAGCAATGAAACTTTTTACAGTATTCATCTCTTCCCGTATTACAAAAACACCTGAACATTGATATCAAGAGACTGAATCGGATTCATACCAGAAAACATTTTTACAGATTTTAAATAGCGCAGACCAAATCTAACATTCACAGACATTTACTTACATTTAATATTCAATTATTTTCTGTATACCATGAGCAGAAAAGCCACAGTCATCTGACAGAAACAGATGAATTATCATAACTGTTTGTGGTCGCTAAGAAATGTGTCATCTTTGCACAACGTAGAATACGTATCACATTTATTACATCGGCTTCAAATGCAGCTCGTCCAATCAGATGTTACAGTATAAAATCTGTTTTATGATCAAACAATCCTGTTGATACTGTCATACTGTAAACACAAGACAAGACTCAAAGCACACGTGTGTTAAGTCTGTTTATTTATGCATGTATAAGGCTTATAGGCTAATGCATGGATTTAATATTATCCAGATGAGAGAATCAGTCAGAAGCTCATGCCACAGTGTATTAGTTCAGAGAGACAGCTGTGTGATATGATGATGGCATCAGACCTACTGCTAATGCTGACCATCGGTCAAGAGGGTTATTGCACTGCTGTGATTAGCGGATCCCTGAACAATAGCCTACAGAGCAGGGCCCAAGCTGCGCTTTACTACGTGTGAACAAGGACGAGTGGGTTTGTGAGTGATTTCTTGTTAACTAACAGCTGGATTTTCTCATCCAGAGTTATATTTGGTTATATTTGATCATTGTATAAATAAATGAAACGCGTCTCCCTAAGCAGCAGGTGCATGTCTAATGAGCGGTTTGGATTATAGTGCGCTTATATGGACGTCTAATCTCACACGGTCCGTCTAAATGACATCAACTCCAGAGCAGGCCAAGGCTCCTGTGTTCAGACTCCTGCTACAGGAATACAGACGCCACTGAACCGCCCGCT